AAAGCAAATGACTGGCAATACTGCAGGAAGAGGTGAAGTTCTGCAGGTTCCCACGCAGGTGGTCTGCACAGCCCTCAACAGCCACATCTTTTGGGTGGTGACCCAGTTCAGGAAGATGGTTACCCTGGAAAAAGGAAAGAGAAATTGTGATGGGGGAAATGGGAAAAGGAAAAATATAGAAAAATATAGATCTATATATAATTATCTTAACTATTATATATAGTTTCTTTTAGTTCATTGAAAAAGTTTGTGCTAATATTGTTTGGACAATATTTCATGTCTATATCTTGTGTTCTGAATAACTACTATGAAGATAACAATACACAATGTATTCATTATTGTTACTTTCCTACCAGCCTGGTTTTATTTTTGTCTTTTTTTTTGAGATGGGGTCTCAGTATGCAGTTCTGAGCTTACTTTGTAGCCCACACTAGTCTCGAACTTGCAATGATCCTCCTGCCTCAGCCTCCCGAGTGCTCGGATTACAGGCGTGAGCTACCATGCCCGAACAGGCTAACCAGCCTGTTTTGAAACTCTGTTTTATTACTTTATTTTTTTCTCTTTAAAAAAATATTCAGTTTTTTAAAGACAATATCTCACTATGTATCCAGACTGGCCTCAAATTTGTAGTGATCCCCCTGCCAATCAAGTGCTGAGATTATAAGGTAAGATTTTAATTTCAAACCAATGGCCAACATTGTATCATAGTAAGAACACAGAAGTTATGTAAGAAAGTTAGGAAAAAACACGAAGTTGGTTATTGTCAGAACCTAACACGTCCTAAAGAAAGAGCTAGTGGTAGTAAAAGAAATCAGAGACAAAAATAGAAGAGCAAATATTAGAAATGCACCATTTTTGAAAAGGCAGGCGCTCCACACACACTAAAACATCCAAATAACCTCCAGACACTGTACAGATGAAAGAAATCTTTTAAAAGTTAATGTTAAACCTGAAAAAGACAGTTAGAACGATATTTCTATAAATGTGGAGACAGGCTACCTCACCACAGTACTCTCTAGAAAGAAAAGATAGTCATATTTCAATAGGAAGTACTTTATGAGGAAATAATCCAGAAAATAACAAATCTTTATCAAACAGTGACCTGGTCTCTGATAAGATCCCTTACCCTACGGACTGTCCATCACTCGCTGCCCTTGTCCCTCACCCAGGTACTCTCCATTACTGACCCCACAGATCTCCATAACTGGGCTTACTGCCCCTGCCTCCACACACTAACCAATTCTTTATCCTTGAGACAAACAGGTGTCCAGTAATTTGCTGTTGCAAAGCACCTTTCTGCCTAGGTCTGTTCCCTTTCTTTCATCTCTCCTAATTGCCACCGACTTGCACCTTCCTTAAAGGCTGTGAAGTGTATTTGTATATAGCACATTCGGCACTGGTGAGTGCAGGGTCTTAACTTTCTGAGAAACGGTTTTCAGACCCTACTGGGCACGAAAATTGCGGTCAGACTCCAACCGTATCGCCCAGGAGAGTGTAGGCGCTAACCGGACGTCTCCCCTCATTCCACTGAACTGGCCTAGGAGAAGATTGTACCACTAGCTGAATGCGTTTCTTAGGAGAGCAGAACATATTTCCCTGTGCCTCAGATGAGACGGGAGTTTTTGTTTCAATAAACTTTATCTGGATGTATAGAATTCAGTTCCAAAGACCAGCTTTTCCTGGAAGCTTGCTTTCAGACGGTTTCTTTCGGTGGACACCCCTTTGCCCTTTTCTTTTGTGGAACAGCCCGATGTACGGAATGAGCATTATTATGGCGGCTTTCTGGGTAGAGTATAGGGAGCGGCCATGTCTTGCTGAGGACGCCATTCCCGGCCAAAGTCTCTGCGGATCCGTAACATCACCTTCTTCAGTGTGAGTATACTGCAACCTCTGTGATTGTGACTGTATGCAAAGCCAACATCAACTCGAAGGTGTCTTGTCAGGGAACTAGCACTGGCAACGGAAATGGTCCTCAGGGGCTATTTAAGTCTAGTAGGCACGCTGTGCTAAAGCTGTCCAAGAGGGTTTCTGTCCTGATAATCGCTCAGGTAATTTATAGGTGATGGCTTTGTTGGGTTTGGGGGATGATAACCTGGCAGTTTAGGATGTCAGTTGATGGTGAATGAAAGAATCCAGTGAACGAGACTGTCATGGGCAGGGGTGGCAACCTCTGAAGGAGTCAGATTTACCTTCGTGGCAGCATCTTGTCAAGTCTTAATCCTGTGTTTAGATTTTTCCTTAATCAGCCAGTATCCTCAGAGCTTGTTCATTTTATTAGTTGTTCCAAAGAGCCAACTTTTTATCTTTGTTCATCCTCTTTAATGTGCTTTTGTTTTCTATTTTGCTTAATTTCACTCTTATGTGTATTGTGTTATCTTTTTTCTAACTTCCTAAATGGGATGTTAATTCGTTAAGTTCAGTCTTCCTTTGTTAAAATTTAAGAACATAATTTTTTTTTGCCTCAGTCTCCTGAATAGTTGGGAATGTAGGTGTTTGCACGTACACCTGGAAGTGCATTGACATTTTTTTAAAATTTTATTTAAGAGAAAAAAGAGAAAAACACAAAACAAAACAAAGCGGTGTAAGGGTACATGTAATACAGAACTACAAAAAAAAAAAAAAAAACCATAATAGTAAGAAATCACCTGCTAATAGATTACATATTATCATCTTGGAAATAGTTGCTCAAAGTGCATTGACATTTAAAAACAAACAAACTCCTTTGGAAGTCCTGTAATGTTCACAATGCCTAAGTTTTATTGGTCTTGTTCTCCACTGTTTTGTCCGGCTTTATAATATCTAATGAGATGGACAATTCCTTTTAAGGAAACAAGAGACAATGTTGATAACCATTGTTGATGACCTTGTACTCTGTTCTACATCATGTGCTATGTCTATCCTTGGTTTGGACTTACAGCTTTGTTTTGCCATATTTGACTTTATTCTCTCCCCCCCAAGAGAGTAATGAGAACTGAGGAGTAATAAAATCCAAAATGTATAAATTTTGTTATAAAAAAGAGAGGGAGAGGAAAAAAAAAAAAGAGCTCTAACGGATATAACAACAAGTGTGTTTAGGGATGTTAAATAGCTGACTATATTAATGTTTTTGGATCATTGAACACAGCTGTTTGCAGTCTCTCCGTTTGAATGTCTACTTTGTATTCTTTGATACTGTGATTTGAGCAACTATTTCCAAGATGATATTATGTAATCTATTAACAGGTGATTTCTTACTGTTATGTTTTTTTTTGTAGTTATGTATTATGTGTAACCTTACACTGCTTTGTTTTGTTTTGTGTTTTTCTCTTTTTCCTCTTAAATAAAAAAAAATAAAAATAAAAATAAAAACAAACAAACTTATCCAGGTATATCATATGTCTGTGTAACTATTTTGTATTTGTCCAAAAAAATTTAGGGGTGGTTCTCACTATTCAGTCCAGGCTGCCCTTGAACTCACTATGTAGACCAGGCTGGCCTCAAAGTTGTGGCAATCCACCTGCGTGAGCCTCCTGAGTGCTGGGATTGCAGATGTACGCCACCATGCCAGGCTCACACCTATAATTTTAAGAACTTTTCCAGTCATATAAGCCCGTGTGTGTGTGTGTGTGTGTGTGTGTGTGTGTGTGTGTGTGAGCATGCATGGACGTGTGTGTGCACACATTAGTGAGGATCAAGCCCAGGGGCACTGTACTACTGAGCTACATCCCTAACCCTTTTATTTTTATTTGTGGTACTGGGGATTGAACTCAGGGCCTTCACTCTGAGGTACATCCCTAGTCCTTTCTTATTTTTTGTTTTGAAACAGGGCCTTACTAAATGGACTTGTAATTCTCTTGCCTCAGCCTCGCAACTGCTGGGATTACAGGAGTACACCATTGTGTGCCATTTAAGTAAAGCTACTTGGACAGGTACAGTCTATATTCTTGCATATTTTAATTTTTGTTATAATTACTAATGGATTTTTCCATTTCCATTTGCTCATTGCTTTTATAGGGAAAAACTATCTGCTTTTAGAATTTTATCTTGTATCCAGCCCCTTGGTAAGGTACCTTAAGAATTTTAGTGACCTTTTAACAGTGTCTGAAGAAAAAAAAAACAGCCTCTGGTAGGTTTCCTATGTCCAAAATCTTATCATTTGCAAAAAGCTACAATTTTCATTTTTCCCCAATATTTACTCTGATTATTTCATCGAGAGCTCACAAAAACAATTTTGAGTTATACTGAACATCCTTGTCTTTTTACTTATTTTTTTTCCTTTGTGATGCTGAGGATGGAACCTTGGGTCTCAGATGTTAAACATACAGTCTACCACTGAGCTGTATCCCCACCCCTTTTTGCTAATTTCAGAGGCAATAGGTCTGTCATTTTACTTTTGGGCTTGGTATTTGGCATGGCTATGTTTCATGAATGAATTTTAGAACTTTTAAGTTATTTTCTTCTTTCCTAATTTTAGCATACTTTTATTATTAATGGCTGTTGAAAAAATGACTGGTGTATTGTGTTAGATGCTTTTTCAGTATAAATTAATAGCATGTTTCTTCCCTAATTTGTTGATATAATAAATGATAGTATTAATATGAAATCATCATATAAAAAGAAGAGCCTAAAATCATCTCCATAGAAGAATTTAAGAGGGATTTTACATCTTAAAATGAAAAAATAGCAAAATATGACAGAAGAGACCATTTCTTTTCATTCAGATTACTTGGTTTCCTACCTGCAATGTCAACCATCAGGCCAGGGACAAATCCTTGCTTTCCCCAAGGAATATCACCATTCACTGCCCCAGTCTCACCCTCTCTCCAAACCTAAATCTGGTTTTGAGAGGTACACTGGTTTCACCCAAGAGTAATGAACTCCTACCTCATTAATTCAAGTCCAGATACCATGATCATTTCTATACTCTACCCTAAGTAGTAGAGTAGGGCTTTTTGAACTTTGTGGTGTGAACTGAAAATGATATTGATAACACGGATACTGCCCTTTTAGGATTTCTTGGAGTCTGTGGAGCCATTGAACCTTAGGCCTTACCGGAAGCTGCAGAATCTTCTGCATTCAGACCCCTCTACAACTTTGAAAGGGAGGCTGAAGCCTAGGGTGAACATGCCAGCTAATGGGAAATCACCCCAGAGCTTCCCTACCCTGATTCCAGGAGAACCAGGCAGATCACTTGAGGTAAGAAGGAGGAGCCTACTTGTATCTATTTATTTTTTCACTCATTTTTCTTAGTATGCTTTGATTTTTGACATCAATTCAAATGCAATGGAAGGTTTACCACATTTCCTTTAATAGTAGCATATTGTAAAATCTTGGAACAAGATCATGATCAGGATATTAACATACAGAACATTTCCATTACCACATGGATGTCTCATGTTAGCCTTTAATAGCCAAGACCACTTCCCTCCCACCCTACATCCTGCTTACCATCTAGCAACCACTAGTCTGTTCTGTAATGCAATATAATTTTGTCATTTTGAGAATATTATATAACTGGAATCATTGAGCATGTTAGCTTGTGGGATTGGATTTTTTTTTAATTTAAAGAAAAGGAAACAAAAAATACATGGAGATAAAAAAAAGGGTAGAAATAATACAAAATTACAGAAAAATAAACAGTAAGAAATCACTGGTTGATAAGTTACATATTGTCATCTTAGAAATAGCTGTTCAGGTTACAAAATTAAAGTATTTAAAATGACATTCAAAAAGTGACACTGCAAACAGTTCTGCTCAATGATCGAACTAAAACTTAGTAATATGGTTATCAGTCCTACACACTTGTTTTACATCTCAAAGAGGGTAAGATTAAACATATCAAAACAGAACAAAACAGTTAAAAAAACAATTTAAAGAATACAGATTTCAAAGCAAGTCCACTGGAGATCTTCACTGTCTATCTAACTGTCTCTAGTTTCTTACAAATAGTTGTCCCCATCTTCACCCACATTATATACATATTGCATATTATAGAACTAATCAAATCATTACAGGATGATGAAGGCTTTTTAGGTCTTCAAGATCTAACATTGGGGAAGACAATAATAACTACTATCGCATCTCTCATTCTCTTCGTGGTAGCCGTCCCCATCTTTACATATGCTGAAATTGAATTTAAGAGACTAGACTAATATCATTCTGATCAGTGAATAATAGTATTGCTAGAATTTATATCATAATGCTACAAAATTAGCATTGGGTTACTTAGTGTCTCTTCTTCAGAGTATCTGTTCATTACATCTTGCATTATTTAATCTGTTCCTGTAAATAATTTTTTTTAAAAAAAAACTCATGTGTGAATTTCTACATATATATCTATCCTCTCTGTATTATAGGGAAAAACAAGTCATAACAAGACAGCAAAACAAATTCCTAGAAAAACATGCAATGGATAAGACATATAAGACCACAATATAGGTGATCTCCCATAGTTACTATGTTTTCTCTTGTTATTTTCAATAGATTTGTCCACATCATCGGCTTAATATAGTTAAATATAGTATTACCTATTTTTATAAAAACACAACTTTGAAAGCATTTAAGATTTGAGAGCTGTTAATAATTAATACCAGTATGGATATCCTTTATATCTTGTCATCTTCAGAGTAGATGCCTCTACTTTTAGGGTTGATACTAACAAGCATACCAAATTCAAATAAAATCAGCCAAGGCAAACCCGTGGTCTTATGAATCGGATTCAATTAAGATCAGTTAGTAAGACAATGTAAGTAATACAGGATTTCAGTTTAAGTTAATAGGAAAGTAAGGATAGTTATCATGGTATAACCTGCTATTTTTGGGTCAGATGTGTGTGCCCTCAAATCTGACATGAGTGGACAGACCAGAACAAATTAAATTCAAACTAGATATGGCGATAAGACTACTGTGTCTTTTAAATCCTGATACACTATTAACAATGACCTCTGCCTTTTTTATAGTGTTTCAGAGCTGTCTATACTGAAGACTATAGCTTACCGTCTCTGCCTCATGTCTGCTACTCCACTTTTCTGCTATAATTTGTCCACCTTATTCCCTCACTCCACTGTCTGCCCCGTTCATTGAGGCCTCTCTGCCACTGTTGCTGGAATCCTGGTATCCCTTCCTCTCTTTCTCTGGATTGTCCTTCAGCACTCTCTGTAGGGTTGGATTGGTGGCCACGAACTCCCACAGTTCCTCCTTGTCTTGGAAGCATCTTATTTCTCCATTAATTTTGAGAGAGAGTTTTGACGGGTATATGAGTCTTGGTTGCATATTATTTTCTTTCAGGACTTGGAATATTTCTCCCCACTCCCTTCTTGACTTCAGAGTTTGTGTTGATAAGTCTGTTGTTATTTTGATAATTTTCCCATTGTAGGTAATCTGCTTCTTTTCTCTGGCTGCTTTTAATATTCTGTTCTTTTGGTGGATTTCTGGAATCTTGATTATTATATGTCTAGGCATAGATCTGTTTTGGTTGTAGGTAGCTGGTGCTCTGTATGCCTCTTTTATCTGGATATCATTTCTTTTTGCTATACATGGGAAATTTTGTTTTAATATATCTGTGAGTATTCTTTGTATTTCATTTTTGGTTGCTCCTGCTTCCTCACTCACATTCTTATTCTTAAGTTATGTATCCTTTTGTCATCTTCTAGCCTTTGAATTGTTTCTTTCTTTTTCCTTGTTATTTTTAAGAGGTTTTTTCTTTCACAATCATATGCCATAAATCTTTCTTCAAGTTTCAGAAGGCTGTCTTTAATTTTTGTCAAGGCATTTTGCCAGTGTTCAATGGAGTTTTTAGTTTCCTGATATTCTCTTTGGATCTGTTTCATGTATTCTAAGTTATGTTTAAATTCTTCTTCAGAAGTTTCTCTTTCTTTTCTGATTTCCTCAGTTCTTCCATCTGTGTTCTCTTGGGCGGTGCTTGTCATGTCTTTAATTAATCTCTTTATTTCTTGCCTCACTTGGATCAGGAGTACAGCTTTAAATTCATCTATGAGGTCATGGAGGTATTTTTTAATTTCAGCTGATGCTGTCTCCAGTATTGGATGGTTACTGTGCTTGTTCTCTTCAGTGTTTACTTCTCCTGGGCTTATTTTCTCATGTTGGGCAGCTGGAGATTTTTTTTTAATTTTTATCTCTTGTCATGTTTCTGGTTTCTTTCAGACTGTAGTGTCTTGGGGGTCTCTGGCCCTCTCCGTATTGCTTAGGAGCTCTTAGAAGCGTGCTGACTTGAGTTTTTGCTGTCCTCCCCAATTTGTTGTTATCTGGGGTAGGCAGGGATGCAGGGACGGTACAGGCTAGCCTCCAGCCTCTGTGCCAGTCAATCCATAAATTAGGCTGTATTTTTTGGATGTCACAGAGTTGCAACTATTTTGTATCTGCTTATTGGGCCCCAAGCATAGGCTTGGTTCAGCCCCAGCAGTTCCTGCCAATTCTCTCTGTGCCAGAAGCAGCTGAATAATGTCTCTGTGGCACAGGGTTCTGCCCAAATCCCAGCTGTTCTCTTCCAGACCTCTCTGTGCCAGTAGCACCAGGACAGCGGGTCTGCCCAATTCCAAGATGTCTTCCACTAGTTCTCTATATGACTTTGAAGCCAACACGGTGCCAGGCTCTTCCCAATTTCAAGATGTCCTCCACCAGACCTCTCTACACCTGGGGCGACTCGGTGATGTCACCGAGCCGCAGGTTCTCCCCAACTCTAAGATGTCTTCTGCCAGACTTTCTGTGTTATTGATGTTACCGTGGTGGCAGGCTCTGCCCAGTTCCAAGATGTTCTCTGGCCAGTCACAGCAGCCACGGGACCCAGTGCCCAGTACTCACCAGGGCTCGGTGCAGGTCCTCCTCTTGAGTCTACTGCTTACCACGCTGCGTGCCCTCACTCTGCTCCTGGCACAGCGTGGAATGGTCAGAAAACTGCACAGCGTTCAGCTTTGGAGCTCCAGAGCCTTTCACAATCTCCTCTGGTGCAGCCGGGCAGCCCTGGCTGCTTCGTGGGGACCCGGGTCTCAATTACCAGCAGTCACCAAAAGCCAACACAGCTTTTCCTGTTGGGTCCACTGGTCAGTTTGCCGCATTAAAGGCACGGGATTTGCAGCCTCCCGTTATCAGCCTTTGCAGTCTCAGCACGACTTTAAATCCTCTAGCCACGCTGTCTTGGTTAATAAGAATTGTTATCCATTCATCTGGCCCTCTCCATGTTGTCATATTCTAGCATCTAACATGATTTCTCCGGAGAGACTCTGCCCAATCCCCTAGCAAGCTGCCATTTTTGAAACTCTCCCAGACTCACTCTCTCCAGGATTGGATTTTTTTTGCCAAGAATAATTCTCTGCAGGTTCATCCAGGTTGCCGTGTATAACAATAATTTGCGTCTTCTTATTGCCAAGTAGTATTTCATGATGTTGATATACCACTGCCAAAAGCAAAATGAAGCAAAAAAGGACTATTATCTCTCCACTGAATGGCTTTTGCTTTTTTGTCAAAGATCTATTGACTGTATGGCTCTATTTCTGAGTTTTCTTGTCTCTTCCATTGATCTTTCTATTCTTTCACCAAAACAAACCATGGCTGTCTTGATTACACTACATTTTTATTTTATAATTTTTGGGGTACTGAGGATTTAACCCAGAACCTTTACACTGAGCTATATCTCCAGCCCTTCTTAAATTTTTATTTTGAGACAGGATCATTCTAAGTCACTAAAGTTTGCCAGTCTGGGCTCAAACTTGAAAGTTCTCTAGTTTCAGCCTCCCAGAGTGCTGACTATGGGCATGTACCAACATGCCTGGTTTATAATAAATCTTTTTCTTTATTTAAATGAGAAAAACTAAAACAAGATAATAGGAGATTAACATTGTATATTGTTATCTTCAAAGTAGTTGCTCAGATTACAAGATACAGGCATAAAAATTGATCAAACTGTAAGTGCAAAGCTTTCTTTTCAATGAACTAATAGAAATTAGTAGTATAATTATCTTAGCTACCTTGCATATGTATACATCTCTCTCTCTCTCTCTCTCTCTCTCTATATATATATATATATATATATATATATATATACTTTTCCCTTCTCTCCCCATACCAATTGTTCTTTCCTTTTAAGCAATGTCTTCCCATTTCACAATTTCTGTTGTACATTTCGGGTCTTATTTATTTATTTATTTATTTATTTTAAAGAGCAAAAAGAAAAAAAGAAA